AAGAATGAGATGTAAATCCCACAAGAGTGGGTGTCTACAGAGCACAAACATCCAGTTAATCAGAGCTCTTAAAAAAGCTGCAGTTTTGGAATCTATTTGAAACCCAGTGTCCCCTTGGATTAGGTACGTCATGGTTGGCCAAGTCATTCACTTCCCCTAATCCTCAAGCTCCTTATCTATAAAATGAGGATACAGTACCTTCCTCACAGAGCTGGTATGAGAATTAAATGAATAATCCACAAAAATCACTCAGCACAGCACAGTAAGCACACAATAAACAGTTTGTGTCACTAGATAACTTCATCAGTCCCTCCAACGTCCGAATTCCGTGAATCTGACTCTGGTACACTAAAGTTAAGACATTCAGCCATAAAATCTAATCACTAAATAAACTTTTGTTTTTACTTCATAATACTAAAATAATTATCTTTAAATGTATCCACACCTAATATCTTCTTCCTTTTATTATTATAAAAATAAAAGTCTAAAATGATCAACAACAAAGTCTATCATTCATATTCTTAAATCTAAATTTGACTTGTATTTCAAAACTAAAATGAGAGCAAAGAAATATTTTTTAAAAGTGATAAAAATGAAAGTTGTAAAAAATGAATTCCCTCAATTTTCAAAATCTTCTATATATTTCTGAATGTACATTCAGAAAAGGCACTGAGTTGAAAATGGACACTATTGCTACTTCCTTTAATGGGGTTGCAATTTCTTTTAGACCAAGCAGGATGTAATAACACATTTATCAACGATAGGCTCTTTTATTCATTATTACTCTTCTCCAAAGATGGCTACAAGTCTTCACTTTTCAAATTCTCTTGTTTTTCCTCTTTCTGGAGAATATCAAAACCTTCTCTAAATTTCAGCATTCTAAACATAAGCTCTAAAAACATTCTTTCTCCTTTCTGTTCAGGCATATCTGTCAAATATCCAACCATTCATCCTTTTTCTTTCATCACAACTGTATTACAAGTTGTAATACAACAACTTGTATTACAGATTTTAAATTTCTTCTTTTATAAAATAATTTTATTTTTTTCTCCTTCTTCCAGAAGGAGTCACTATCCTCTGTTTATAGAACAATCACTTCCCCAATCTACCTTTATAAAACATTTGTACATAAGGATTCTTCATTATGCTAATGAAACAAATGTATATACACTTTAAAATCCTTTATCCGTGTTAGATACTGAAAGCACACAGAACTTGGGCTTTGTGGCTGAGTGGCTTTTGTAAAGTTATTATACACAGTCTTTCTGACTAAATTTTCTTCCTCCAATATAGTAGAAACTATGACTCTCTAGGTTTAAATATTTAAATGTTACTACCTATTAGCAAATTTTCATTCTGTATTGTAGAGTATGCTCTATGCACCTCTCCAAAGGGTATAGATAGCCTGTTGCCCTTAAATTGTAGGCATTTCAAAGTGAAAAGAGAAGGAATCATGATTAAGTAGCAACATGTTCTTGTTTTTATGCATGGTTTAGCCTGTAACCTTGGTTTTCTTTCTTTGCTGTACACCTGGCCGGGTTTCTACATTCTTATAGATCTCTTTGTAGTTTTCACAAAGGCATGACCCTAACACGACACGCACCACAGTTATTGCTTTTCATCACTAAAGTTATTGGGTGGATGGGTCAGACCGTGTGTCCTGGTATAATGATAAGTTTAGGACACTGCTTTGGCTGGGGGTGGGAGGCAACAAAGCTAAAATACTGCCAGAAATATTTTTAAATTTTAACAATGACCTTTCCACTTTCTAAAAAAGATAAAATTCCAAAGCCTAAAGCACCAAAGAAAGTTAAAGAAGAGTATCTTTTCTTTCTGAAGGATCACCTTAGCTATCTCACCAGCAAATGAACACACTGACTTAATATCTGTTCATCTGTCTACTTAATAATAGTGTGTCTCTTCAATGATAGTAAGCTCCGTGAGGGTAGAGACTGTGTCTACTTTTTCCCTGGATATCATCACACTTACAGTTTAGCACAGTACCTTGCTATTATTGTAAATAATAATATATAATATATATTATATAATAATAATATATTGTAAATATGTTTTTGTTAAAATAATGAATATGGAGCAAATCTATAGCATAGTGCCTAAGGCATCTGACTGCTAACCAAAAGGCTGGCAGTTCAAACCCACCAGCCACTCCTCGCAAGGAAGATGGGGCAATCTACTTCCGTAGTGATACTGCCTTGGAAACCCAAGGAGGGGTCGCTATGAGTCGGGTCTGACTCAACGGCACATAACAACAACAACATAGTGGTAAAATCTAATTAAACAGGATATAAAATTTACTCCAAATTCTAACATCTTTATAACCCCTCTTTAATTTCACAGGAAATGTGTGTACCTGTATTTTTCAGGAGGGGGGAACAAACATTTCTTGTGCCTATTATTATGTGCCAGATACTCAAGCACTGACCTAGAGTCAATGCTTTGCAGAAACTCATATTGAAACATTATCCTGCCAATTTACAATCAATTTTTTAAACACTATCAGATCTATTCCTACCTCTACCATTGACTATGCTGTTACTTTTAACTTTCAAGAATAGAACCAAAACAAAAAAATCTATTAAGAATTTAATATTACAAATATAATTAGCATTTCACTTATGGGGAAGTATTACAAAGTTTTCCCACACTGGAATTTTCCAGAGAATAGGTTTTTTCAATACTAATGTAAAAAAAACAAACAAACTATTTTTAATGACAATATTTCTAAACATACTCTGTGTACCTGAATAGTCTTAATCAAAATGTCTACAACATGAATCCACATTTTTGGATAACTCAGATAAGGATAATGGAATGGTTAAGAGCAGATGTTCTAGAACTTAGCTGTAAATCCTGGCACTACTGCATGCCAGCTATGTGAATTTAGGTAAATTAACTTTTCTGGGTCTGTTTCCTAATCTGCAAAATGAGGCTAATCCTACTACCTCTTAGGACTGTACTGAAGATTAAATAATAATATATCCAAAGTGCTTAGAATACAAATGCAAGGCACATAGTAAGTGCTCAATAAAGGCTAGCTAAAAACATTTTAATTTATTAGGAGCAGAACTTTGGCTGTTCCCCTCTACAATACACAATGGCCCCAGACTGCTATATTTGAGTTTCTATATACATTTGGTTTTCTATATAAATGTTAAATTATTTTCTTGTTTCTTACCCTAATGTTATTTTTTAACTGAGCTGTCACAGTACTTCTCATTTTAGGCTTTACTCTCCTATAAGCTGAGAAACTAAAACACTCTACTAGAAAGAAGTATGTAAGAAGAGGAGTTCCCGGTGAGGGTTTCAAGGGCTTTCCCAAGAATAAGTTACTTAAGTGATGACTCAGGAATCAGTAACATCTATTTCAACTTAGAAGTCTTTCTGGTTTACTGTGTTCGCAGCTATGTTTGGGGAAGTTGGAAATACCAATAAGTGACCTATGGATTAACGAGGCACTATTGTTATAATTCTGTCAAGCATTAGATTAATCAAAAACAAATGAAAGGTTGATTCTTCATGTTAATCTTCTACAATTACTAATCAGCTGCCAAGGTGATTATTAAGCTTCCAATCCATACAATGCTTTTAGTATAATACTTCAACCAATACAATTCTATAGTTACAGATCCCAAGATCCAATTTTAAAAACTTAAGATATTACTAACTGTGCTAGTATACAGAAGTCCAGCAAAATGTAATGTATGTGATTAAATCTGTAGTTCTAATGAAATTATCACTTTGATGAAAGAGGGGAAAGTGTGAATCATTAAAAAGGTTAAATGAAATAACAACTAATGAATAAATTAACTAGCCAAAAAGAAAAGAGAAAACAGGGACTGTGAACTCTTACAAAATAGCAAAATTATAGGGAAACTAGGAAGGAAAACAAGTGGGAAATTTACAGATGAATAATGAGAAGTAAGGAACAATTTACCAATTCTAATCCCATCCTCAAGTGAATAATATACTTAAAATTTAACATTCAATTTAATAGCATCTCTGGGGGAGCTCTGGTAGCATAGTGCTTAAGGTACTTGACTGCTAACCAGAAGCTGGCGATTCAAACCCACCAGCCACTCCTCAGAAAGAAGGTTGAGCAATCTACTTCCGCAGTGATACCACCTCGGAAACCCAAGGAGGGGTCGCTATGAGTCGAGTCCGACTCGACAGCACATAACAACAACAACAACAGCAACCTTTTTCCACCTCCTGTGAAAGGCACAAGAGAGGCTCTGACAACTGTGTGTGTCAGCAATGATCAAACCTTCTGTTCAAGAGGCCAGACACCAAAAGAGGCACAGTGAGCTCTGCCCTTGGGAAACACGGGCATGAGCCAGAAACTGGAAGCCACCAGGCCAAAATCCTAACATTCGTGTATCTTATGCTAAAAATTCATGTATTTGTTTGCATTTCACTCTGTTACATACCAGTGTATATTTTTTAATAAAACAATGGAATTATTTGACTCTTCCTATTCCCAAATTGTCAAGTAAAATTGATGCCCCAGGAAGATTTGGCTTGTGGTTCCTATGGCTTCTCCTTCTCTTGGAACAACACCAATGCCATCAGGGGTAGGTGAGCAGCATGAATGAAAACAGTATCTTATTACAAATACGATGAGCTCAAGGGTCTCAAATGATCCACAATGAATTAATAATCTAATAATCATTAAACGGACGCTTCCAATTCTTATGCAACTCAATGAAGCTAACAAATTGGAAAGAATAGTACATATAGCAATCTTCAAATGCCTTCTTAGCTTTTGAGCTACAGTTCTTATAAAAAGATCAATAATGATTTCTTCCTGCTCCAATGTGGAATTAGTGTTTCCCTAAATACATTAACTTCAGAAGCACTGAATTACCCAGGAGGATCAGCACCACAAAGAAATAAATAGTTGTTCTTTGTAAACTAGTGATTATCAATACAGGGAACTTACCTATAGCTGCTTGACACCAAATGACAAAGATGACACTCACCCTCATCCTGATAATCTGACAGAACAGGTGCATCTGACATTAGGGAAGGACCATGAGTTCCACTGTGATTGTCATCAGAGCTGTCCTGTCCAAAGTAACTTTCAGCTTGGTCTCCCCCTGAGAGACAGAAAAGAAAGAAAGTAAGGTCAGTCTTTGGATATCTTTATAAAGGTATTTGTAGATCTCTTCTGATTCTCTCTCTCTGTCTCTCTCTCTCTCTCTCTCTCTCTCTCTCTCTCACACACACACACACACACAGACAAAATGTATCGTACTTGATAGACATAGGCACTATCCATTAACGTATTAAAAAAAGATAAATAAGCTCACAAACTAACTTACCTGGATGGGAAATCTTCTATTCAAGTAACTATCTAACTACAACTTAGTTTAGAGTGGGGAGACCTCTTGCCACCAGACAGAAACTTCTCCATTCTATTACACTTAAAATAGAAACAGAACTAGATAAATACGTATTCAAATACATCGTGTATCCACCAGTTACAACCTTTATCCTGAATGCCTCTTTCTCTTTATATTTCCAAATGAAACAGAAGGAATTATACAAAGGGTTATCTTTCTATACAAAACAAAATGTAACAAGGTCAATATTCTTTCCTTCCCTGAAAAATAAGAGAAGTAAAAATAAAGAGAACCTACACTTTGCTGGATTCTATTCCTATTTAAATCACTACTTGTTTACAACCTTAAGAAAGTTATCTCTTTGTAATTCTAGTTTACAGCCTATGCAACTGACCTCTTAGGAATTCTAAAAGCCCTAAGAAGGTAATATTTGTTCTGTAAAATGGCTTCGATACAAATTAATGTATATGCAATACTGAATTATGCAATTAAAATGCTGCTAATCCCTTTTGGGTGTCTTCAACATACATTGGATTATATTTTGTAAAAGTGGCCAATGCTATTATGATACTTTAAAAGGTTCAGACGGAAGATGTTAGCTCACTCAGAAACCGGAAGAAAAGGCTCTGCATTGTAAATGGCTTTCCTTAAAATCCCCCAAACAGAGGCACAGTCTGTTGATAAAAGGACATCGACAGCTGCTCAGTTCATTTCACAAACATGAAAAGGGGATTTTCAACTGAATTTAATATTATCTCAAATACTAATTTCCAAAGGAAATCACCAATGCTAATCTCAGTAAACACTGTAGAGTTTTGGCCCTGGATTTCAACTAGGGAGCAGTGAAACCAAACAACCTACATAGAATCTGTATTGCCTCACTTTAAAGGTTTATTTCCTACAATTAAACTAGAAGGACAGGGAGGGTATAAAATGATAAAAAGAGAATGGCTATTGCCTTCTCTTTCCATAAAATAGATGATCATACCTAGAATCTCTTCTACAAATGTTCAGTGTAGGTACATGTCCACAGCTGAATTGAACACCTGCAGATACAGGACTTCAGAAATAAACTGTAGAGTTTATTGTGGAGGAGAAAAGGAAAATTATAAAAAACTCACAGAACAGTGGCTGGCTGAAGCCAGAAGAGATGCGTTCCTTTATTAATTTACTGATCAGTACACAACAGCTTTTCGATATGCTTAAAGCATCACTGTGTTATTTCCATTATAACAGGAAAAATACTCAAATACTGAACAGAGGGTTAAAATGCTCAAATTTTACATTGCTGCAAATCCACTGAAATTACATTATCAACATGATCTAAATGAACTCTGGCAGGTAAAGTGAAAAGTGAGCTGCTAAGTTAAAAGGATTTTTTTTTTGAGGCAAATTAAAATCCATAAAAAGAAGTAGTAGTAGTTTGGATTGCCAAGTAAAACTTAATATTTATAAGATATACTGAACATTATTCAGCAACTATCATTCTAGGCTAAAAGTTTCTGCTTGCTTTAGAAATTTGGCAAACCTACCGCTAAAGAAAAATACAAAGACCCTTTCTTACATATTACAGCATTTAATGGGCTTTTTAAAAATAAATAGGTTAGAAGGAGGTTTTGTTTTGTTGTTTTTCTAATTAATTTTTAATTCTGGAATAATTTTAGATCTAGGAAAGTATTGCAAAGATAGAGTTCCGTCATCAAGTCTTCCCCGATGTCAACTTCTTATATAACTAAAGTACATCTGTCAAAGCCAAAAAAGTAACATTGGTCTGTCACTATCAACTGAACTACAAACTTCTTTGGATTTTACCAGTTTTTCCACTAGTGTCCTTTTTCTATCCCAGGATCCAATACAGAAGATCCCATTGCATTTAGAGCTTCCATTTTTTAAATTCTCATCTAAAATACCTCCTTGGTTTTGGCACTTGATTTACTAACTTCAGATGGAAAAGCTGATTCCACGTGACACTTATGGTTTCTGAGTACAGCTACCCAAGATGGTTTTTTAACAGCTATCCCTGTGCCAAATACATGACTTTGCCCCCATAAAGTATAAAACAACAAAGGTATACAATTGAATGCAGCAAAACAGAGTCTGGGTCAGCAGTAAAAATGACTGCAGGAAGGAAACATTTAAAAATATGTTTTACAACCAAGCATAATTAGTTCCTGACGATAGAGATGTTGTTATAAGTGTTTTTAATGTCATATCAAGTGGCCTAACTCCCTTGAGCACACAAAAACAAGTCTCTAGTACTATATAAATAGACACTCCCATGTAATTAAAATGATTACAACTACCGAAGATGCATGGGTGAAAAGTTTTATAGAAGAACTAGCAATTACTGTAGTCATTTTGGATTTAGGTTTAGAACATCCTTTTCCCCTAAAACGTAACTGCAAGTGATCTCTGGATTTTTCTATAGCTCTGACAATCACAGTTCCAAGTGGCCACTACCACAGTCCAGTGGGATCAGGCATAAATGATCACAAACTATAGTGACAGACATTTCCACTCAGCAGCTCTACAATTAGGGCTTCAGAGCTCCATCTGCTTACAGTGCCTTTCTCACAAGCAAAACCCCTTGCCACTGGAGACATACTTTCCCACTGCAACTCACTCAGAATCAATATATTTCTATACAGATATATATTTTAACACACCATATCTCCATTAATCACATCCACTACCTTCAGTCCCTTCTCTTTGTATTTCTAAACATTATCTGGGGGAACTATATCAAAGGTTCACCTGCTATTAGCTGGTGATTTTGCTCCTCTATCCTGAGTGTCATAAGAATTGGGCGCAAGATACACTCCTTAGTATATTCAATGGCAGGTTCTCCACGGAGTATTGTGCTTAGGGGCCTATGAGGGGGATGATTTCTCTATTGGTCTTTCTTAAGAGTCAAACTCAATTTCATTCATGTTCCATAGAGTGATAAGTTGGGAATTTCTGAAGGCTGGAGCAGAAGGATAAAGCAGCTTTGTGTCAGGTGTAAGGTAATTATTTGCTAGGGTTTCTGTGCTATTTGTTTTTATTCCCTGTGTTTTCATTAACAGTTAATGAGTTTTCCTCCTTAATTCTGAAACAATAGCTTGGCCACTACAAGTTGGCTTTTTCTGCTGCAGATTCAACCAGCTGTTGCTGGTCCATAAACTTTATGGAGAAGTGAATTAAACTACTAAAAACTTTCATTTCCTAATTCAATTCCAAATAAAACAGGGGAGGAAAAATGAACCATGATGATGTTCCCCTTGTAACTATTTTGACTCACAGCAAACAAGTCTGGTCCTGAACTTGCAGGTACTATTTAGGGACAAAAACAGGCCACTTTACCAATGAAATGAGAAAGAAACTGAAAAAGACGGAAAGTGGTTTAAGCATTAAAAACAAAATATGAAAACAATAAATAACAGATAAAATATGTGAATGTATTTGCTTATTCCATATGTAAAGGCTTAACGTTTTTTACATGTTAATAAATTCAACATCTTCTACTTCTCTTCCAGTTAACTGTGAGCTATATTATAATGGCTTTATTCACATCTGCAATCAGCAATTTACATGGACTTGCTTCAAAACTTTCTAGGGTTTGCTATTATTTCACCAAGTATCTTTTGATGAAATAAGAAAATTGAAACAAATATGTAATTGTTTGCAATTTGCTGTTTTTGTTTTTATTGTTGTTGCTGTTGGAAGGGAACACAGGACTTCTGACTCCTAATACAGAATCCACGAGCAACCCAGCTCTCTTTAAACTAATAAATCTTCACTAAAATGCTATAAATAAAGGCCCCTGATCCAAATCCAGTTAGTTTTCATGGTTGGTAGCATTAATACTGCTTGCTATACTTTCATGGACCAATTTAATAGTGATGCAGTTCCCAAAGCTGAACTATGTGGCAAGATTAGCAAAACTGCAGCTTATTATTCCTTATTATAACCATTACTGACAATAGCATCCAACTAAAGAAATATCTTGGGCACAGATGTGCCTGTATATGTTACTCGTAAATACATAGCACGTTTGCAATAACATCAAAGCTAAAGTCCTGTCAACACGCCTATCATAAATTACACACCTTTTCACTCACATTCATGCATTAGAAAATGTATGGTGTTTCCCACAGACCATCTTAGAGGCTTCACCAGTTTCTAAATACGCATTTGGATTTGCGTGGTTAGTTCTTGTGATTAATCCACATGTAGTGAAGGTCTCAAATTCTTCTCTGTTTTATATACTGTGACTTTCTGCTCATCTCTCTTTTTTTTCTCCTACATTTATTCATAACTCAGTGTATAAATATTCTTTTTCTCCCAAGGCCCTGGCAGTGAGTGTAATAGTACCAAATGTCATTAAGTCTACAGGAAAAATGACAGGCCAGGTAAAGAAAGTTTCTATTTATCATTCTTTCAAACAGTTGCTCCTACTAGATCTTGACCATGCATCCTAAGACCAAGTTTTTAAACTCAGGATAGCAAAAATTAACCAAACTCCCTGCCACCCAGTTAATTCTGACTCACACAGACTCTTTAGGACAGAGCAGAACTGTCCCATAGGGTTTCCAAGGCTGTAAATCTTTATGAAAGCAGACTGCCACATCTTTCTCCCTCACAATAGTTGATGGGTTTGAACCACCAACTTTCTGGTTAGCAACCAAGTGCTTTTATCACTGCACTGCCACAGCTCCTTTAACTTAGGATAAAAAAACAAAAACAAACCAAATCCACTGCCATTGAGTGCATTC